ATTCGAAGGACTCAGAAGAACAAACCTCGGAAATGAATTTACTGCAGAAACCAAAAGCAGTTTAGGAAACTGGCATTCCCATTATGATATAGGAGGATATAACTTCTACGAAAATATATTAAAAAGTATGAGAAGATAACAGGCTGAAACAGTATAAGAGAGTGAGTTCAAAAGTTAGCAGATCAAAAAGATAAGGAAGAAGTATAAGGAAACTTAACAACTTAAATCTATAATGGAATTACTAAAGAACAAAATGTTTCTACGGAAAAGCAGTGGTGTAGAGTGTAAGGGAAAGGGCAAGCTACACCGACTGGGAGAATATATTTGCAATACATACATCTGATAAAAGGCTTATACCTAGAATATACAAAGCATTCTTTCAACCTACTAATAAAACAACCAAAAGCCTCACATTAAATAAATGGACAAACAACTTGAAGAGAAGCTTTCCAAAGGAAAATATAAGAATTAACAATAGCCGAAACCGATTTGGCTCAATGGATAGAGCCTCAGCTTGGGGACTGAAGGGTCCCGGGTTTGATTCCGGTCAAGGGCACGTACCTTGGTTGCGGGCATATCCACAGTAGGGGGTGTGCAAGAGGCAGCTGATCGATGAATCTCTCTCATTGATGTTTCTAACTCTGTATCTCTCTCCTTTCCTCTCTGTACAAAATCAATAAAATATATTTAAAAAAAAGAATTAACAATAAGTATGAAAAGTTGCTCATGATCATTCATCTTCAGAAAAAGGCAAATTAAAACCACAACAAGCTAGCACCGGACACCAGTTGGAAGCTGGCAATCCCAGTGTTTGCGAGGACGTCCAGCAGTGGTGTGGAGTGGCGGGCGGAGGTTCTGATACATTACTGGTAGAATAAAAAATGATACAATCACTTTGGAAATAGTTTGGCAGATACTTATAAAGTTAAACATGCATTTATAGGATCCAGAAATTCCACTCTTAGGTATTTATCCAAGAGAAATGAAAACCTATACCTTAAAAAAGACTTGTACACACATGTGCACAGCATTATTTATCATGATGGCTAAAAACAATTCAAGTGTCCATAAACAGGTGAGAAGATAAACAAACTGGTTTATTCATATAATGGACTACGATTCACTGATTTTTAAGAAATAATAAAGTATTAACACTCACATAAAATGGGTGGCTTTGCCAAACATTATGCTGAGCAAATGAAGCCAGACACAAAAGAGTACACGTGGAATGGCTCCATTTACATGAATCTTTGGCAGAGGCAAAAATAATCTACAAACATGGAAATCGGGTCAGTGGTTGACAGGAGTGGGGTTTGGAGGAAAGACTTAAGGAGAGATGGGAGTGAGGGGAGTCCTAGGGTAAAGGAAATGTTCTACACCTTCATAGGAGTGCTGATTAAGTAAATTGTGTATTTTTCAAACTTCATTAAACAAGACATATTGTATATATTTTATTACACACAAATTATCTATATAAAACTCTAATATGCAAATCTACCAAACAGCGGAACAACTGGTCACTGTGACGTGCACCAACCACCAGGAGCTCAACGCAGGAGCTGCCCCAGCCTACAGGCCCCAACCGGTGGTGGCAGTGGGGGGCAGAGCCAGCAAGCAGGCGGCATCAGGCCAGCCAAGGTGAGTGGGAGGGACCTGCCCCCCCCCTCCCCAATCACCCCACTGGTCGCTACACAGATTGGCACTGATCAGCCCTGATTGCCAGCCAGGCCTAGGGACCTTACCTATGCACAAATTTTGTGCACTGGTCCTCTGTTACTTTATAGTTAATTAAAGCCAAAGGTACTCATAACTAGCTTCTTTCTAGAAAGCTGTAAATTACATAAATAAAAATAATTCTATGAGCCTCTAGGCAGGGAAATCAGACTTTCAAGGAACTTTTTAAAAATTGACATCAGATTTGCTAAGTAAGACATGATAATGAAAATGTTTTTAGTTAAGAGAGAAAAGAAGTCCTAAGAATTTTATACCTAGCCAAGGATTGTTCATAAGTGAACAGAACTAAAAGCCAACCTGAATATGAGATGGCTCATAAAATATACCACACATCTACTCTTCTAGAAAACAAATATTGAAACAATTTCCCAAGTGCCTGAGAAATTATTCAAATTTAAAAGCTCAAGGATAAAGACAGTATAAATACTTATCACAAATATGATTTGAAACTAAATGAAATGTAAAAGAAACAATAATTGTAACTCCTAGAAGAGAATATATGATAAAAAAAAAATATAGAGAGACAAGCCTGTCCAGTGTGTCTCAGTGGTTGAGCATCAACCTATGAGTCAGGAGGTCATGGTTTAATTCCTGGTCAAGGCAAATGCCCAGGATGAGGACTGGATCCCTAATAGGAGGCAGCTGATCAATGATTCTCTCATCATTGATGTTTTTATCTCTCTCTTACTCTCCCTCCCTTTCTCTGAAATCAAGAAAAATGTATTTTAAAAAATATAGATAGGTGATATGAGTTATAAATCCCAACTGTATTCACTAAAACTGGGGGACGTGAGTGAGGGAAGATGATAGAAGTAAATGTCCATTTACACTGAGTGGCCAGATTATTATGATCTCTGAACGCACAATAATCTGGCCACTCAGTGTATTTGTATCTCAAATGGGTACCAAAAGTATTCTAGACTTTTGCTGAAGATCAACTACCTATTTGCCCTGAGCTTTCTATCAGCCAGTGCAAAGGGAAAAACCATTTATAATATCTTTGATATCAAATAAATGAGGTACTCAAGAGAAGTACACTGAGTAGCCAGATTATTATGTGTTCAGAAATCATAATAACCTGGCCACTCAGTGTAGTTCCTTATTTGATAGAGTGAAGTCAAGAGCTATTGGTTCACTAAAGTGTAAAAGATCCATTTATGAAATATTTTATAGTCATAAAAATAATGAGAAAGCTCTTAATGCTCAGATATGAAATTACCTGTAAAATAATTTTATTCTAAAGGGTGAGGTACAAAACAAACATATGTGCAGCATGTTCTGGTCTGTGCAACAAATGGAACAAACATCTTAAACAAAGGAAACTGGTGACTTTGGTTACCTTGGGGGCAGAGTTACTGGGTAGCTGGGAATTAAGGGTAAAAAGGAAATTTTATTGCAATTTTTTATCCTTTGTTCATTTGTAAATGAACCATATAAATGTGACCTATCTTTTTTTAAAATGTATTATTTGTGTTATTTTCACTTTGAGAATCAAGTAAATTATCATTGAAGACTCTAGTATGTGTTAAATCTAGTTTATGGTAAATGAGGCATCACAAGTTAGAAAAGAGTCAATAAATTATCTTAGAGAAACTTGTTTCCTATTTGAAAAAAAAAATACAATCCTCATTTCACAATCCTGACTAGAATAAACTACAAACAGATTAAAGACGTGATAAAATTTTAAACTGAATATAAATATTAAAACAAAACAGATGAATCTCAGATCAAATGAAGAAAGACCTTCAAAGAATAATTAGACAAATTTTACTAAATAAAAATTAAAATCTCCAATTGATCAGATACACAGTATAAAATTAAAAGGCATATTAAAACTGGGACAAGTACTGGGACAAATACGATAAGATAAATATTTTTATATTTTAAAGAGCCAATCAAATTAAAAGACAAAACAAACTTTTGAAAATCTCACTGAAGCCTCACTGTAAAAATGGGCAAAGGAAATAAAAAGTCAGGAAATGAAGATGGTTAAGAAAAATATAAGGACATGTAAAACCCCATTGATAATCGAAGTAATCTATGTTTAAGACAGACCTTTTCTTGGCTAGAAAATGGGTGAAATTCCTGGGAAATGGGGGCCCCATAACTACTGATGGGTGTGTAAATGTACTATTGGTACAACTGTAAATTGGCACAGCCTCTCTGGGAAACAACTTGAAATATGTACCAACAGCCTTCTCCATGCTGAAAACTTTTGACTCAGTAATTCTAATTTTATACTGAACGCCTCCTCAGGAATTTAATGCAACTTTATAACAGGAAAAAACCCTGGAAATAATAAAAATGTCTAATAATACAAAAATGTTAAAATATGATATATTCATACAATAAAATATTACGCAGACATTAAAATTATAGTTTTAAAAAATACTTAATGACCTAGGAAACATTCAAAATACACCATGTGTTAAAAAAACAAACAAAAAAAAACTGTTATGTGTTATGTGGCAATTTTGAAATGACAATATGTACCATCTGTATAGATTTTAAATACTGGAGGGAAATGAAACAAAATGTTAGCAATCACTTTCTCTAAAATTATTTAATTTTATTACTTTTAATTTCCTGTGAAATTTAAAGTTTCTATAGGTATGTGAGAGACACCATATTTAAAATGAAGAAATGTTACAATTATAAAAATTTCACCTGGCATCAAAATGCTTAGGCTCTCAATTGAGTTAATTATTGCAATAAGCAAAGAATTCCCAGACAGAACCTTCATCTGCAGTAGCACTCTCCTTCCATTTTTTACACTTTTGGTTCAGAACCCTGAGGGAACGGCGTTTAGAACAGGGCTGGACTCTGACAGCTGGGGTGGGCCCGCCAACAGCAGCGCTATCGCTCGGCGTAATGAACCCCCTGTGCACTGAACCCCTGTGCAGGCCCACGTCCCAACCACAGACAACTCAACTGTAAGTAACGGTGTTTCCATGACACACTTGCCTGCCCAGAAAGTCTTCAACCAAGACCACCCACTTCTGGCCCACAAACCACCAGGGCAAAGCAGCCGCTGAAATGCTCTAGGAATTGATAAGTCTGGCATGAAGAGCCCCGCACGCCTGCCCAGGCTCCCCACAGGCTCCGCCTCCTCCCTGCTGTTTTCTCTGGCAGGATGTTTTCTAACATGTTCATTCCAACCCAACTAATAAAGGAGCTCTTTAAAGTTGCGAAAAACAGCCCGTCTTGGGTTCCTGGGTCCAGCATGTGTGCAACCCAGAAAGAAGTGCAGAACACATGTACAGTACCTTCCCGAAGCTGTGTTGGCTTGGCAGAATTTTCCCCACTCGTTAAGACAACAAAAGATGCAGCTGCTCGGACTGTGGCCTGCCATGTTGACATGGCAACGGGGGGCTCCTGGCACGGAAAAAGGGCCCTGTTGTTTATGGGGGATCCCATGGTATAAACACATGGCCTGCAAAAGAAAGACAAAGAAACAAAGGGGAGAATCTTTAGAGTGAGTTGTCACTTTTCTCATCTCCATGGTAGAGAAGGTTAAGTTGAACTTTCAAAGAAAAAACATTTGAGGCTTTGTAGTTGACTAGTTTCAAAGCATTTTGAACTGAAACTGCCAAGGGATGGCTAAGTGATAATTTCTCCCAAATGAATTACTTAAATATGTAAAGAAGGTTGTTTTTTAAGGGAAAATAATTTTTTGGTTAAAGTTTTAAACACTAGACTTCCAAGTTAAAATCTGTATTACCCTTGCCCCTCCTCTTAGGCTAACCTTATGCCTTTAAAAGAAAAAAGCTTTTGAGACATTCTTACAAAACTTGGAAAATATTCCGGGACAGAAAATATGTTTGGAGATCACTGAGATATTAATGTTTGGAAAAACAAGCTGGTGGTCTCAAATCCAGCGTTGGTGGGCAGCGATCCCAATCCTGGACACCATCTCAGATGGAGCCCTTGTGGGAATCCTTGTGTGGAGGCCAAGAACACAGGTAAACAGGACTATAGGTCACAACTACCAGGAAGGCCAAGTGTAGTCATTACCAAAGCAACTTTGGAAAACCAATGGCATGACATTAGAGCTCATTCTGTTGCAACTAAAATATACACACCCACGGGCACCAAGAACCATGTCTTCCATGACTGAGTCACTGCTGACAGATGAGATCAAAGGGAAGGATTCCTTTGACACCACTGTTTAGTCACCATCAGGAAAGTTCTCAGGAAAATGTGTCCACTTGTTTGCTTCACTATGATGAACATGCATTGTGTCACTAACATGTGCACCGGCACACAGAATGATGGTCCCACTCTAGTAGTCAGGGTGCAGCCAAGAAAAGAGGGAACAGTCCAGGTCTTGACAAACAGATAATTTAATACAGGGGATTGGCATACTAACGCTAGAAGAGCGGAGAAGCCAAATGGGAACAGTGAGGCAACCCGGAGATTAAGCAGAGCAGTAAGTAGCTGTGACTCCTTGGGTTGGGGAAGCTGATGTTTCTAGATGTTGCCGGTTCATCTGGCAGAAGTCGGAGTCACAATGAAGACTGTCCGATGGGTCTGGGGCCAGAGGAGGCTTGGTCACTGGTGGAGATGCCGAAGGAAACAGGGAAGGGAGAAGAAATGTTTCTCGACAACTCCTGCTCTCAAATTTTTCCACCCGTGCCACCCCCAACCCTCCCAAACTGGCCAGACCTCTCAGGAAATGGAAGACGAGGGAGCCCAGGTAGTGGGGTGCCTGGTCATTCAGAGAAGGCCACGATAAGAGCAGAAAGTGGACGGTAGGGCAGATAGGCAGGTACGGTCTCCCTTCATACAAGTGTCCGTGATAACTCACAAGCTTGACAAGTGGAGAAATATCAGAATTCAGAAAACTTTAGTCCTTCCTGGGTTTTCAACTTATTAAATGACTATGGGTAAGTCTCTTGACCTCTCTGAGTCACATGTAAAATGGGGATGGGACACAGGTTGATGACTTCTATTCTGGTCCATAAGTCTATGATCCTGTATTACAAGTTTATATATCCAAGAACAAAATTTCATGGAAGACCCAGAATCTCCCATCAGTTTCAACAAGCCTTAGTTAGCTGTCCCACCTCGGGCTGTCTGAGGAAGCCCACCGGAGCGGTCTCCTCCCAGGCAGGGCTGGTGGTGGTGGGTATGTGGTGAAAGGTATGCTATAGCAGCTCAAATAACTCAGCTCGGTTGGGTCAAGCATGCCTATTTTAATAATTCCACCTATTAGGTGTTTTATTTCCCCCCTCCCCCAAAAGCCCATCTTAGAGAAGGTCCCAAAAAGGAAAAGTGAGTGTTGTCAGTGGAAACAATGTGTATTCCCAGTAGCCAAATAGTAGGCATGACTCGTGCCTCCTCAGACAATGGCAGACCTGGGCTTGCTTTCTCACTGAAGCAGAATGGACCCCACAGTTTTTCTCAGTTCAAGAGCTATCAGAAGCCACTTCCAATCTAAGTAGACTTGTGGAGTTAAACTTACTAATGATGCTCACAGGGAAATGGAAGGGCCCTTGCTTACTGCTCTCCTACAGCTTTTTCTGCCTCATGCAAAGGGGGAGTTATCCTTATTATGGTCTTACATCCTAGGGTGCCCAGGCTAAGTCTAAAAGTATCTACACTCTCTTGTTGTGCTCAGCACCGTATGTCCCTAGGATGACTGATGTTACAGGTCTCCCCTTCTCTGTAGAGGGAACAAATCCTCCCCAAAGTATTAGGTTGCCAAGAGGTTTATTTTCCTTTCCTTATAAGGATGGGTTGGAGGCCATGCTAACATATTAATATGCTTTTCACCTGTGTCCATGGGCATAGGGTCCCCAAGACTTCCCCATCAGCTTCCACAGCTCTTCCCAGAATAAGCAATCAGCTTTAAGATGAGGTCATATCTGAGAAACACCGCAGAGGAGGAATCAGAAGGACTTAGTGATTTGCTGAAGGAGAGGGAAAAGGAAAGAGAGGCCTCTCTGAGGAAGCCAGCTTCCAAGTTGGTCCCCAATGGCCCCTACCTCCTATATTCACATCCCTGTGCAGTCCCTTCACACGCTGTACGAGGGTTAGTCTGTATCACTTGTGAGATTAGGTTATTTGAAAATCTGTGACTTCCATTGTAGTGGTTCTTTTCCCTCTGTCTCTCGTCCTCTTCATCACTGGCTCTGGGGGAAACCCAGCTGCCACGGCAGGAGGACACACTGGGAGCCTATGGAGGGCCCATGCGGTGGCAACGGAGACCTTCACCCACAGTCAGCAGGGATGCGCAGGCTGGCAGCAGCCTGGCCTGTGAGTTTGGAAGAGGACCATCCAGCTCTGGTCAAGCCTTGAAATGCTTGCACCCCAGCAGAATGCAACCTTGTAAGAGATACTGGGCCACAACCACCCAGCTAGGCTGCCCCTGGATTCCTGAGAACTGTGAAATAGTAAATATCTATTCTTTTAAACTGTTAAGTCTAGAAATAACAGAATTTTCTCAGGTTTCTGGCTCAAATGATAAAATAAGTCATAAAGTTATTAAACAACAAAGGAAACCCAGGACCACAGGCAAGAGTTCCTACCTGTGTATACCATATATATATTATATATAAAAGGCTTAGCGACCATCTGATTGGCCAACCAGTAGCTATGACATACAATGACCACCAGGGGGCAGCTGCTTCGACCAGTAGCTATGACATACACTGACCACTAGGCACAATGTGGCAGAAAGAGCCGGTACGCTCAACGCAGGAGCTGCCAAGCTGCAGTGACTTGGCAGTGGCAGTTCTCAGGTGACACACCCTGAACCAGAGAAAAAGGAGCCCAATTTCTGGGCAAGAGGGGCTGGACACACCCTGGAGCCAACCTCCCGTGGTTGAAGGGAGTCTGCAGAGTGAGCAGGATCCCTCTGGCAGGTGGAGTCCCTCCCCTTGGCCTGAGGGGTTTGGACTGAAACTGGCTCTCTGACATCCCCCAGGGGTCCTGGATTGTGAGAGGGCAGTTCTCGGATGATGCCCAGTCCCATCCCACCAGTCACCTTCTAATTAATTTCCTTTCAATGTGTACAAATCCATGCACCGGGACACTAGTTCGCATACAAAAGGCTTTATACACCATGTGGCTGAGGACATTTGTATGAAGGCAGAGTGACTTCCTAAGTTCAACAGCATAGTGTCCAACAATGGGACTGAGTGTCCAAAATCAGACTGATCTCAGAAAGTTTAAGAATGATAATATCATGCTTTTATTATGTAGTGTTTTTTGTTACAGTCAGATTTGAGCCTGGGTGTCACACTCAAACAGGGAATTAGGGATGCGGAGGAAAGCCTTCCATTGGCTGATTTTTTAAAAAGCACATTATCACCATCCTTTTCTCTATTATTAGAGAAATTCCTATTCTCTAATTCTCTATTATCTCCCCTTTAAAACTATCTACTTCTATGTATTTTGCTCTAGAGTTTTATCCTGATTTCCCTGTCATCTCCTCAGGCTCTTTCTGCCACATTGTGCCTGGGCACTGGGCACCTGACTCTCCCACCAAGGGACTTGGCCAGACCCCAGGAAGCTCTCACCTCCAACCTCCCCACTGTCCTCACCATTCTCTCTTCTTACCCTCCTCTTCATATGGCAGGACATCCTTTCTGCTAAAGACTCTATGTTTTCTTTCTAGCTTCCAGACCTATTAATATACTCTTAAAATTGTGGATCAAGTCAGGTATATAAAAGCCACACCCATAAATAGAAGACTCAAACACTTTCTTATTGGAATGTGATCGTAAATCAGGAAATAATCACAGGAGAGGCCCTAGGCATACTTTCTTGAAAATGCAGATTCTCCTTGTGCTCCCAGCCTACTCCTTTCCTGGCTTTTCCTCTTTCTCAGTTGCACCTTCACTCCTCGCTTCCCAACATGCCCAAACCAAGTGCCAGTGACTTTATGACCAATGGTCCTTTGAGCTTTTCTAACTTGATATCTTTATGCACATAGTGAAAATATCGAACAATTTAGTTAAGTCATTAAGAAAAACAAGTCGTGGAATGAAATCAATGGAGCTAGAAACCATGGAGCCCATTGGTTGACTCTGGGTCAACAAGTGAGTTGGATCACCAGGAATTGTTCATCAGGGTGACAGCACAAAGAGCACCAAAAAAGTTCAGAGGTACAGAAGCTGGAAGAAGACCATAAATTCAAAACCAATCAGAGGAAGCCATGTGGCATCTGGTGAACAGGACCAATATGCACATCCAGATTTCACATATTACAGATGATTGAACAGTGGTCGGTATCTGCACTCAAATGAACAACATTCAAAAATTAATGTCTTGTAAACAGCTTACAAAACTAGCCAGTTTAGCTCAGTGGATAGAAAGTTGGCCTGCAGACTGAAAGGTCCCAGGTTTGATTCTGGTCAAGGGCACATACCATTGTTGAAGGCTCCTCTCTGGTCTGGGACCTAGTTAGGGCGTGCACAGGAGGCAACC